GGCCCCGGGGGCTGCGGTGCCAGGGTGGGGTGGGGGCTCAGGGGGGGTCACGGCACCGCGCGGGGGCTGCCCCCGCCCCGGGTCTCTGCCCACAGGACAGGAGCAGAGCACTATGGCGTGGGGACGGGGGCGTGGGGAGGGCCTGGGACGCGCGTGACCGTCCCCGAGGGTGACACCGACACCACCACGAGGTCCTTCCCTCCCACGAGGACCGGCGGAGGCCGGGGCCGGGGCCGCCGGTTGTGCTGTGAGTGTGAGGGGCGCGGGTGGTCCGGGGGTCCTGCCGTGCCCGGCGGGGGTGGCCGCGTGTCCCTCGGCTCGGGGGGGGGACGCCCCGTCTTCACCCCCAGCCCCGGGGCAGGGGCGGGCATCCCCACACAGTCACAGTGATGGCACACGGAGGACAAGGGGATGGTCCCGCTGCGATGCCACTGCCACGTCCAGCCGTGGGGGGGGAGAAGGGGGGTCCGGAGGGGGGGGCACGGGCCAGTCCGGGGCTCTCTACATGATGCTGCACTTCCCCTTGATTTTGTCTGTCCTCTTCTGCTTGCTGGAGCGCTTCCCGTCGATGGTGAGGCTCACGTTCCTCCTCTTCTCCAGGTTCAGCAGCTCCTGGAAGAGCTCCTTGACGTTGTAGTTCATCTTGGCCGAGGTCTCCATGAAGGCGCATTTCCACTCCTTGGCCATGGCCTCCCCCTCCCTGCTCTCCACCTCCCGCTGCGTCTCGTCGCACTTGTTGCCCACCAGCATGATGGGGATGCTCTCCACGCTGCCCTTGATCTGCACGATCTGCTGGTAGATGGGCTTCAGCTCCTCCAGCGACTGCTTGCTGGTGACGGAGAAGACGAGGATGAAGGCATGGCCCTTGGAGATGGAGAGGCGCTGCATGGCCGGGAACTGGTGGCTGCCGGTGGTGTCGGTGATCTGCAGGGTGCACACGCTCTTGTCGCAGCTGATCACCTGGCGGTACGTGTCCTCGATGGTGGGGATGTAGGTGTCTCGGAAGGTCCCCTTGACGAAGCGCAGCACCAGGGAGCTCTTGCCGACGCCGCCGGCGCCGAAAACCACCACCCGGTAGTCGTTGCTCTGCTCCGGCATCTTGGCCCGGAGGTGCTGCCGCCGCTGCGGGGGGGACAGGGGGGCGTCACACCGGGAGTGGGGGGGGGGGGATTTTGGGATGGACCCCCCCCAAATGCGGCCAAGAGCCCCCTGTGAGGTGCAGCTCCGGGCAGGGGTCAGGCCCCGCCGTGCCCTTGGGACGCCCTTGCTGCCCGGCCCGGGGTTCGGCCGCCTTGGCTATTTTTACCCGGTGCCCGCTGTGGCCATATGGCCGAGTGTGGCCACCGGCACCACGGCTGCGGCCGAGGATGCTGGGGCAGCGGGCTGGGGGGGCCACGCCGGGCAGGGACCCCCAGAGCCCCCCCGGGCAGCAGGGGCTGGGGTGGCCACCAGCACGTGGTGGCACCTGTAGTGCCCACCCAGGCTCTCGGGCCCTGCCCCAGGTACGGAGGTGCCATTTCACACACAGGCCACGCTGTCAAATGTCCTGTCAGCCCCTGTCACCCTACGCTGTGCCCTGTCACCCCCTGCCACCCTGCCCTGCCCCGTGCCACCTGTGTCATCCCTCTGCTCCGCTCCCAGCCCGGGGATGTGTCAGGGAGCAGAGGGACGTGGGCACTGGGCAGAGCGTGGCACAGGGGTGGGCTGTGAGGGGTGGGCTGTGGGCCAGTGACCTGCTGGCTCAGAGACCCCCATGGCCACCCTTACGCTGCCAAACCTCGGTGCCCACTCTGAGGGGCAGAGTCCCCAGGCCTGGGCAGGGTCCCCAGTGCCCCCCAGGTAGCAAAGCCCCAGGGTGTTGAATGAGGGGGCACAAAGAGCCCTGGGCTGGCCCTGCCTCCGTGTCCCCAGGGCAGCACAGGAGTGGCAGCACCAGCTCTGCCCCACGAGGGTCCCCGGGTGCTGCATTCCCACCCCACGGCACCGGGGGATCCGGATCCCACAGAGTAGCCCCAATGCTCCGGCACATCCCCAAACACCAGAGCTGGTGAGGTTGGGAGCTGGAGAAGGAGCCCATCCCCGTGGCCTCGGGCACCCAAGGAGCTCATCCCACAACGGGCTCCTTGGATCCCACCACGCTGGAAGTGTCACCAGCACACGGGGCTGGGGATGGAGCGGGGGCCGGGGCTGAGCTGGGGTGTGGGAGTGCCCAACCTCAGCCAGGGCTGGACAAGGTCCTGCCCTTCCCACCTGAGTGTCCCACCTGTCCCTTCTCACTGTCCCATCCCGAGTGTCCCACCTGTCCCTTCCCACCTGCCCCAGGCACAGCTGGAAGCCCCCCTGGCCTCACAGCCATGGTGGGGGGCACTGGGGTGAGGGGCTGGGCTGGATGGACCTTCTAGGAACGTGGGGGGGCCCTTTGGGGTCACCCCCTGGCCTGTGCCCCAGCCCCAACCAGTCCTTGGTGCCTGGGGGTCTGGAGCACAGCCCCCCCTCAGCTCCCGGTTACAGGACCACCTGCCAGCCCGGGCCTGATCCTGCCGGGGGGCTCTGATCCCCCCAGCACCCCCAGAACCCTCCCACTTGGGCCCCCAGCGCTGGGGGTGACAAAGAGCTGGTGGAGGGGGCTGGGGGTCGTGATGGAGGGCAGGGGCAGGGCAGGGGTGAAGGGGCAGGGACAGGGGCAGGATGGAGAGAGAGAGGCAGGGAAGGGGCAGGGCAGGATGGAGGGATGAAGGGGCAGGAGAAGGAGCTGGATTGGAGGGGCAGAAGAAGAACAGGATGGACGAGCATCCCGCTCAGGATGGAGATGGAGAGACAGGAGAAGAGCAAGGATGGAGGTGGAGAGGCAGGAGAAGGGGCTGGGCGTAGGGGCAGGATGGAGATGGAGGAGCAGGGAGAAGGGCAGGA